TAAAAATATATCTAAACAATTAGAAGTTTAATTAAATATATAAAAGTTTAATTAAGTAACAAGAATATAAAAAAGTAATTAAAAAAATATGAATGTATATATATATATATATATAAATTAAAAAAGTAATAAAAAATAAAAAAAAAATTTAAAAGGTTATGTGAATACATAACAGTTAAATAAAATATATAAGAAATATAAATGTAATTGTATAAAAAGTTTTAGTAAAAATTAAAAATTATAAAAAAGTTTAGCAAATATATAAGAAAATTTAACTATGTAACAAAAATATAACAAAAAATATATATATAATACATTTATGTTAACATATAAAAAGCTTAATTAAGTAAAAAAAAATATATAAAAAAATTATAAATACATAAGTAAATATATCTAAAATAATATTTTCAAATTTAACATAAAATAGTTATTTCCAAAAAAAAAAAAAAATAATAATAGAAAATAATTTATAAATAAAGAGTGTATAAAAAGTGCAAATGAATTTAAGCTACTTTAAGCATATTAGGAAAGGAGTAATAAATTTTAAAATAAAAATAATGATATATAAAAATATTTAAAAAAGTATTAAAAATAAAAGAAAGTGGGCATCAAACGAACCACAAAAAAAAATTTAATAAATGGCATGCGCATTGAAAACTTTCACTGCTCCAGTTGCCTCAAAAAAAATTCGTTAACAATTTTTGTACTATGAATATTTTATTGCATTGAAAAATGTGGGAAAAAACTTTTATATTTTTATACCCTTAACCCATTTCAATAAGTAATGTAACGCAATACCTGAGTGATTACAAAGAGCGCTGCACTGTAACTGCTGTAACATGTAAAGAGCGCAGCGCTATTGGTGTGTGTTGTGTTTGTGTGTGTTGCTGTGCATGTGACATGCAATTGCTTTTCAGCGCAGCAACAATTTGAATACAGACATTCAATCATTCAATGTGTTGTTGTTGTGGCACTATACGTTTTACACAGGCAAACTTTGATCAAACCAATAGCGGTGATGTTGATGATGATGTCTGTGGAAATATGAATATAAATTTATTTATATATATATATGAATGAATAAACGAGTGCATGTATGTGTTTACATGTGAATATATATATATGTATGTATAATAATTTATTTTTATTTCATATAAAAAAAATTTGTAAAAAAATTTTGTTAAACTTTTGCCTTCCAATGTATGTATATACACATATGCCTACCTTTATATTTGCACTCATCTATACTTTTAAGTGTATACGTTCTTTGGTATACTCCTGCATGAACATTCGCTTGCTTGCGACTGACTTCAACATGCCTCCTCTGTATGTAGGTGTATAAAATATTATGTTTGTACGCGTAGGCCTCCTTTATGCACTTTCCATAGATGCCAACAGTGATGCCGTTCCGGGTGACAAGCGCTACAATGGCTGGCAATCCTTTAGAGAATGTGAATGTAACCAACATTTATGATTGTTGTTGTTGTTGCTGCTGCTGCTGCTGTAGCACCTATACGATCGAGTTCATTGAAAAGTGAAAGCCAAAATGAAATAAAATCCATGACACACATAATCGTGCACACAAAGCGAACGCGGGCGTGCTAAAAATATCAAAAGAAAGTGAAAGCCATACCAATGGTGAAACAAAGTGCAAAGAAGCTGAAAAATAAGTGGAAAATTTAAGAAAAAAAAAAATAAAGAAAAAACAAAAAATAATGTAAATAAACTTAAAAGGAAAAGTTAAAGTAAAAAGAAAAAAAAAGCTCCAACTAAGAGATTTTACGCGTAAAAGCGTGTAAAAAATTGTTATTCAATTTTTTTTCTCTCAGCAATCTGCTGTAAAGCTGCTGCTGCACACTTCTTATGCCCACTCATCATTTGGACGTGCAACATGAAGTAGTAGTGCAGCATAAATTCCATTGGTAAGGGTAGGAAGAAAAGAGATGAAAAGAAAAGAGAATATAAAAAAGCTGAGGAAATACTTTACTCTGCCACAATAACTTCTGAAACTTTCTGCTTCACTGAAAATACTTGCACTCCCTCTTATATATACTATATGCGTATGTATGTATGTACTTACATATAAATTACTGTAATAATATTCCTTTTGCAAAGTATTTTGCTGCTTCTGCTGCTCTTTGTTGTTGTTCGTTTTACCTCTGCTCCTTCACATTGGTCTTATAGCGAGCTGCTTGAGTGATGACGAAGTGCATGGATGGCACTTGGCGGTGAAAGTGCTTAGGCAGCAAGCAGCATGTACGCAAGTATGCAAGTGGGCGGTTGGTGGACAAGCGGGCAACGTGCAACATGCTAAAGTTGTCGGATTTTATGCTGCTGCTGTGCAAATGTGTTTTCCTCTCTTCCGGCTGCCTCTTTAAGCTTTTATCGTTAGATCGTCGTTTTTTTGTGTGGAAAATGTCATTTTAACATTTTTAAGTTACTCGTTCAATGTGGCACAAACTACATGCCCAAGTATGAGTTGTAAACAAACAAATTAAGAAATACATAAATACATGTGTATGAGCAAGTCAAAACATAATGGTCATTGAGTGAGTTGATTTCTTTGTAAATACCAAGAATATGCCCGAAAACTTATTGAACTGTATTCCGACTGGTGGTATGGTGTGTGACCTACTTGCTACACCTTCGCTGCTAAGTACATGAAGCTCGACAATAACATGTTGTATACTGGTAAATTTACTAAAAATAATTGTTTTTTTGTTTTGTTTCCTATATAAAATTTGAATTACCTGGGTCCGTTACAAATATTGTAAGCCCTGTGCATCATCCTTTTCCTTGCTCCACCGCCTATAAGTCAAAGTGTGTATATTTTTTTGACATCATCGAGAGCTCAGAATTTTTTAAGGCACCTAATGGCATATTTTTCCCTTGTTTTACACCTTTTCGAACAGAAATTTCTTCTGCGAGCATGCACATTTCTCTCTCGGGGATACGGAGTGAGTAAAATTGTCGTATGTGGGGATTCCTAGAACACTAGAATAGAAATGCTTAACTTCGGTCCCGAACAAAACTCTCTTTGGCGGCTACAAAGCGTCAATTATATATCTATTTCTAGTGTTGTTGGAATTTCGACCTACGTATTAGCAACGTATACAAATCATACAACTTTATGAAGAAAATTCACGTTGTGTAAAGAAGGTGTTTCGCGCACATCACTCAACTTATGCTCAATATAATCAACCTACTGAGCGTACTATTCGCAATACCATCACCCAACTTGAGGCCCAGCATTTATTTTTGGATAAAATTCGATCGAATACACCACGTCCAGCACGCAGTGAAGAGAATATAGCTGTCGTGGCAGAGAGTATACTGAAGACTGTGTATTGTCGATTCGTCGTTATTCCTAGCAACTCCTACTGATGTATGGGACGACTTGGTGAAGTGAAGCCGACCGACCTTCCCACGTGACATCTCATTAGTGCCAAGAATCCGACGTTTTTTTGTGGAGCGATGGGGCCCATTGCTAGCTCAATGGGTATGTTAATAAGTCAAATTAAGTATTCTGGACGAAAGGCAACCTAAAGAGACTATTTCATCCAGTAAAAACAACGGTTTGGTGTAGTTTGTAAACCGGTGGAATATTCGGTCCACATTTGTTCAAAAATGATGCCGGTGAGAACGTAACCGTCAATGGCGACCGTTATCGCGTCCTGCCTGCGGGTAAGTGGTTTAAAAAAATGATAGCGGTAGGGCATGCCTGTCGTAGGAGGCGACTTAAATCCTCCAATAGTTCCGGCGGCAGTAGGGTCTTCATACTGGAGCGACTCATATTTTTTATCCGGCCAAGGACGGTCACACCCGCAATATTCTCTAAAAATTACTTTGAGGAATATTTCTTCGGTCACAACAACAACAACAACAACAGTAATAATAATAATAATAATAATAATAATAATAATAATAATAATAATAATAATAACAACAACAACAACAACAACAACAACAACAACAACAGCAGCAGCAGCAGCAACAACAACAACAACAACAACAACAACAACACTATTTGATGCATGAAATTGAAGATTGAGAGCAAATTTCGGTGAGCAGTTTATTTCACGTTCTGAGCCGGTCGATTGGAGATCACGATCGTGTGATATTACACCGTGAGACTTTTTCCTGTGGGGATATTTAAAGTCTGAAGGCTCTGCGGACAATTCCGCTTCGATTCAGGCCTTGGAGCAAAACATCACTTCCGCTATTCGCCAGTTACCAGTAGAAAAGTTCGAATGAGTCATCGAAAATTGGACTCAACGAATATATAAATTGGTTTAATTCAAAAAAGAGTTTTTAATATATGTAAATATATTAATATAAAAAGTTTTTCTCAAAGCAGTTTCATTTTTTTATTGAGTTTTCTACACATTTTGCTCCATCAAATTTTGTATATTAAAGAAGGTTGATTCAATAATCCAACACCAAATACATACACATATATATATATATATATATGGATACTGTAATCACAAGCAAATCCTTTCACGAGCCGTTAATTTCATTTTCAAATTAACTCACGCATATGTTATGATAAGCCGCAAATTAAATGAGTTTCGAAAACACACATATGTATATATGTGCGCATGTATAAGTATGAGTGTGTATATATATCGTATATGTCTGTTTGCACGCACCTTAAGGGAATATTCTGCTGTTTCATGCTGTTCAAACTGCAAACGCTTGTACATATAAGCTCATATGTAAACACTCGATAAACAAGCGTTCAAACAATTGTCAGGTCATTTACTTTCGTACTCGCGCACACACACACACATCAACGCTCACGCGCACACATATACTCGTATACACCAGCGTTCATCAATTTCATCTTTGCGGTGAGCTTGCTCTGTAAATTCTCCATTTTTCATTGACTTTATATATGTATGTATTTATGCAGCGCATTATTAAACACTTTCAATTCAAAATCTCTCTCACTGATAACTAACTGTTATTGTTATTATTTGGTTGTTATCTTTTTGCAGAGCTTAAAGCCAACATAATCGGCCCGACAGATTTGTATGTGAAAAGTGGCAGCGATATAAATCTAACATGTCGCATTATGCAGGGACCGCATGAGTTGGGAAATATATTTTGGTATAAAGGTAAGTATATAACTATGTATATATAGTTTCATTTGTAAATAAATGCATAAGGGTGTTCCTGTGGTAGATAAATGAAGAGAAATTCAATGTAAAAATCGTATTTTTATAAATTAAAATTAATTAAAAATATAAATAATATATTAATTAAGGAAAAATACATACATAATAGGTGTAGTAAAAAGTTCGTTCGGTTTTTATCTAAGAAATTCCGATATTGTCGTAGTATTAGTGCTACGTGTCGCATAGTGTCATACTATACGGCGCTGAAAAAGTGTTTATTCGCGCAAAAAGTTTGTCTTTGACAGTTTTTCGATTGATTGACTCAGTACGTTGTGAGCGCTCGTCAAAGGTGGACACCAGCAAAGAAGACATTCGCTATATTTTACAATTTTTCTTCGATCAAGGCGAAGAAGCAGCCAAAGCAGCTGAAAAATTGATTAAGTTTATGGGCCCGATACTTGAAACGAACGTGCAGCACAAAATTGGTTTGCTAATTTCCGTTTCGGTAATTCCGATGTCAAAGATGCACCACGCGTTGGAAGGCCTGTCGTCGAAAATTGCGATAAAATCATGGAAATAGTGGAAGCAGACCACCACGTGAGCACTTATTTAATTGCTGAAGAACAAAAGATAAGCCAGAAAACCATTTGGAACCACTTGCATAAACTTGGATTAAAAAAAAGCTCGATGTTTGGGTGCCACACGAACTGACACAAAAAAAGTAATACCGAATTTCCATCTGCGAATCGCTGCTGAGACGCAACAAAATCGACCCGTTTCTGAAGCAGATTGCGACTGGCGATGAAAACTGGGTCACTTACTACAACATTGAGTCGTGGTCAAAGCTCGTGGAAGCGGCACAGACGGTGGCCAAGACCGTATTGACGTTCAGAAAGGGTTTGCTGTGCGTTTAGTGGGATTCGCTATGAATCATAAACTACGAGCTCCTCCCCAATGACCAAACGCTCAAGTCGGCCCGCTACCGCTAACAAGTGGACCGCTTGAAAGCAGCACTCATCCAGAAGAGGCCATTTTTGATCAAAAGGGGCTGAATTGTGTTCCATCAGTACAACGCCAGGCCATGCAAGTCTTTGGTGACGCGCCAGAAGCTCCAGGAGCTCGGATGGGAGGTCCTGATGCACCCACCTTATTGTCCGGACCTGGCATTAAGTGATTACGTTTTTTTCCTGTCCATTGCGAATGCGCTTAATGGTGAGAAGTTGGCCTCAAGAGAGGCCTGTGAAAATTGGCTCTCCGAGTTTTTTTGCCAATAGGGACGCAGCCATCTACGAGAGGGGAATAATAAAGTTAACATCTCGTTGGCAACAAGTTTACGAACAAAACAGCAAATATTTGACTTAAACTGGACTAATGTAAATATATATACACATAATTGTGTGCCACATTTGTGGGCGAATTTTAATGCTTCTGCTTAGGCCGATATTCATCGTTGGTCGACTTATTTCAGCGCAAGACAGATGAAACTAATATTAATTTAATACTCACCAATTTATCATTTATATTAAATCTGTCATATTATGTTATTCAAACCCGGACTCTGATGCAAAGCTTCGAAAGTCCATTGAAATGCATACAGTGGCGAGTTTTTTAAAAGGAATTTAGCTTTTACAGGAAAAGTATGGAAACATTTCTGTCTCAATGTTAATTCTATAATGGAATCCAAAATTCTGAAACTAGTAGCCAAACTCGAGGCTACGACTGCCGAGTGGTTTACAATGCGTCTACTATAACTATAGGCAACGAGCTGAGCGCGAAGCTGAAATATGGTTTTTGAAAAGAAAAGAAAGTGGAATTTATATTGTGTTGAAAATCAATTTTTTACGATTATTTTTTTTAGGTAACGTAGCTTGATGAACCACATTTTTTGTTTTCTGTTCCGGTGCGTAAATATATAGAGAACATTGCTGGCGTTGACGTTTAGCACCCAAGCGTTTATTCTCCTACGTCATGAACTTCCTGAGCACATGCTTGTCTCATTCTCTACCGCTGTTGCTCATTTTAAGCTTCGTAAGCCCCTTTTAGTTGTAGCGCATGATGTTCAAACATTCCGATTCGAGCAGATTTCTTTGCATTAATATTCTCCTCTTCCATGCGACGTGCCATATAATTACGTGCTTCCGTTGTGTGTAGGGAATGCCGAGCGAAGTTAGTGCGAGCTCTTCGTGGCATAGTAACAATGTTTTATCTGTAATTGATCACTTCGCATGAAACACGCATAAAGTTTTAACCTTTACCTTTTGAATAGCCGAAATAAAGAAAGCAAACGACCGAAATTAAACTAATCAAATATTAATCTACAAATCAGTATAGAACACAAGTTCAATTGTGGTATAACTGGCTTAAAAACGGCCGAGATGATGTCAATGACGATGCTCGCCCTGGTCGCCCGAGCATGTCAACAGCCGATGAAAACATTGAAGCAGTGAAGAAAATTCTTAACGAAACCAAGAGGCGGCTGTTATTCTTTTTAACTTCTAAGTAAAAACGCATATTTCCAAGAATTTCATACAAATTCGACTTGAAACCTTCTGGGATGTTAAATTGGTTTGAACTATTCAACGGTTAATACTTCAATTAATCGATTTATGAGGATAGTTATTCAAAATGCTAATACATATATAGACATAAAAAAAATGAGAGGATTCGAAAACAAAGTAACAAACAAATACATTTAACGAAATGAGAAAAATGAGAGGATTCGAAGTTAGCTCTGTTCACTGAGCAAAATTCGAACAGTTATTTTCTTAAAATTAGATCAGCTGTTGTTGGTTGTTGATGTCGGTATTCATAATTTGATCGATGAATATCTCGCCAACAAAAATGATTTTGCATAATCGTCAAATCACTACGGATGTTTTAGGTATGCAACGTGTGGCAGCGAAGATTGATCCAAAATTGCTAAATTTGGAGCAAAAACAACGTCGTATGGACATCGCTCAAGAGATGTTGAACATCGTCAATGACATTCCAAACTAAAAGGTCATAACAAGTGCCGAACCATGGGTGTATGGCTATGACTTTGAAACCAAGGCCCAATCATCCCAGTGAACACGTCCACGAAAGTGTATTGAGAAGATAAAAGGAGCTTTTGGCGATACCATAAACGCGTTTAAGAAGTGTTTCGAGGATTGGAAAAAATGCTGACATAAGTGTAGTATATCTGAGGGGCTTGACTTTGAAGGTGCTATTGATGAATAAATAAATACTTTTTGAAAAAATTGAGACTAACGGTTATTTTCTGATCACATCTCGTATATGTGAAACATTTACTTGCATTGAGTTTTATATATTTCTGTAGTTTTGAAGTTTTTTCGAAGTTGAAATATAAAGATAAAATTACATTTTTAGTATAGTTTTTGAACATCCTTATGTATATCGAAATATATAATATATTATGATATATAATACAATATATGTATATGTAGTTATTCAATGTTGAGATACCGAAGGTCTATGTGGTACAGACTGTACTTATAGACATGTATACTTCTTTACTAATAATCACACACACATACACACACTTTATTAAAATTTATTTGTTTACCTTTTAACACAAAAATAGTGAAGAGAAACAATTATTCTTGCGCAACTGCGATGGCAGTTGCTGGTTTTGTTGTTGTTGTTGTTGTTGTTGTATAACACATTATTTTGCAGCTTCATTTGTTTCGCTTGTTATTCACTTTCAGCCGCAAGTTAATTAAAATTTCTTTACCCCACCCCCCACCCCCTAATAGAGCATTACATTACGCATGGCTCTTGTTGTTGCAATCGCCAACCAAGTGTCGCACTCAACAATGCTTCGTCGGCACAATCGCATTAATTGCGTTAAGCAGCGACAGCTGCAACAGCAACAACAACAGCAGCACACACATGACCATAAAAATGAGAAGGCTGCTCACTATAGCAACAATAACAACAATAGTAAATACTTTACCTTATCACTTGGCAGCGTGTCATTTTTTTCACCTTAACACTTTGCATTTCAATCCCGATTCACCCACAACAAATGACAGCACATAAGTAGGCAGCGGCAGCGGCAACAACAATAGAATTCACAAAAATATAAAACAAAAACAAATATATATATATAGAACAACAACCACATTCATGGCGGCAGCAGCAAGCAACAATGGTTGACGGTATGAGTAGCAGGCAGTCAGCTGGCTGTCAGTCTCGTCAGCTGTTGAATAATTCAGTAATCGCAACAACAGCAACAACAATAGCAATAACAACAACAATAATAATATGTTGGATGCGAACAACGCCACTGTAAATTACTTTACTCAATTATGTTGCAAATGCGCCAACAAGTAATTGATGTGACAATTAAAGGCGCATAATTGTGGCATCGGCATTACAAACCATTACACATGCATCTACTCGTACATACATGTACATGTATATACATACGAGTATACCACATTTACAACTGTCACGCAATTGCCACATCTTCGGCAGTCTCTCACAGTTTCGCTCTTACATTCAGCTCTCCTCCGCTCGGTTAGTCCTTCCCGCGTTTACACACAAACATGCACACACTTGTACATACATACTTTTTCATTCACTTAATTCTTTCAATTTTACCATTTGCTCATTTATTGAGGTAATATTCACACATTTATTTTTCCCACTTTTTGATGGTTAATTTCTGTATATATATTTTTTTTTTTGGTGTTATTACTGTTTTTCACTCAAAGTTTTCAATTAAATTTTGGCTTTTTTCAGGCACTGAAATCATTGACATGTCAGCGAATTTAAATGAGATCGACAGTGCGACGCGGATTAGTGTCGACAATGATTGGACAGATGGATTGACGTCAAGGTGAGCGTAGGCTTAATTCAATTAAAATAGTTTAATGGCAACGTTTGAAAAAAAAAATAAAAATATTTGGTAATAGATATTATGCAATGCCTGTATTACTTATTTTTTGTCAAACTTAATATGTACATACATACATTGCACTATGGGCAAACACGTCGAAAAGCTGGAGACTTTAAATGTGACCCAAAAATTTTGAATTTTAAGGGGTTTTATAGAAACCAACGCAGAATTGCTTATTTATCGGAATTGCAAACCAATATCTGTTCGAAAAGGTTGATTTCGCTTTTTTCGAAGATAAGCAAAACCGATATTCGAATCAGCTGTCATTGAAATGCTAAAGGCTTTTGAACATGTCATTCGCTGGATAATTTAAGAATAAACAGCACTGAAATACGAAGAGCTCGTGACCATTTTTACGTCCAGTACAGTATTCAAGACTTTGCTGGTTGTAAAATCCTTTGTTCGTGACTTACACTTTTATTAAATTTCCGCTTGCAAAGAAGTTTACACACAATTCTTTCAATGACTAACTGATCGGTTTTATTCCGACATTTAAACCAATAAATCGGTTTCTTTCAAAACCAAAATCGACAAAAATTGTATATCGAAAATAAAACCGAAATGCAAATCAATAATCGGAATGTGTAACCCCTTCAACAGAAATTTGACTGTTTGAACTCTGATTCTGTAAGACCACTGATTATTATAGAATTTTGGCTTTTTTTCAACAATCACAATCAAACCACACCTTCACTCCCTTCGTCCACACCCAAAGAGAAAAATTATTTTATTAAACTTTTATTTTGAAATTTTATTTATGGCATAAATACCTTGAATCTTCTTCATTATCAAACTCACATTTTAAGTAATCATTAGAATTATCAGCAGAGTTCTAATCTTCTTTTTCTTAATGTTGACGTGGTTCTTTTATTTATTTATTACGTCTACCGGCAGGGATATTATCTTTAATTATTTTGCTGCCTTTTACTTGAACAAATACTTGATAAAAATTGATTAGAAGAACCCACAGCTCAATAAAAAAACATCGGCCATTTTGTTTAAGCGGCAATTTTATCGGGCCTGTGATAACTTTTTGTTTATTCCTTGCCTCTGAGGCATTCAACCCGAACCTAAGACTAGTTTATCACTTGCCAGTCATTTACTAATATTTTATGTACCGTCAGTGCAAAGGTTACCAGGTATGGGTAATAACATATAATAAAAATATTTTCTTGCAAATTGCCTTGAACTTATAAACAGAAATCTTGTAATTGATGAAAATAACAGGAAAATTGAAAATACTCTTTTAGCCATGCTTCCTTCATTACTATTCCCACTTCCGTTTAGCCTGCGAATACTTACATGCAACCCAATTAGTGACTACATCATTTCCAGAATTTCCCTTTTCCGAGTCAGTAAATTGATTTCATTAGACTGGGGAATATGCCACTTTGGAACTTCAAGTCTATTGGTTATATTTAATATTCAAAAAGTCGAATCCAGGCATGCAATGAACTGGCACATATTTTCAGAGTCGCTTGTCTTGGCTTAAAGCATTTGGATTCAATATCGTTGGTCTTGAGGAAGATTTTTTGGTTTAATCCTACATATAGAGCAGCACTGAGTTGATGACGTACTAATTAAAGCGTTGAGTACTCTTTCATCTATAAGTGTCACATTTGGCTTGTAGGTAATGACAATTAATTTACCCTATTATGTATATGTGAAATTCTTTAGACCAGTGATTTTCATATCCAAATATTAATTTTCTCTTACCATATTTTTTACAACGAACCCAGCGTTACGCACTTCTCGCCCTGCCGACCGAAGGGGCACGTCTGAGGGTTAATCGAAAGATCCAACCGACCAGTGACCGAAAACTAGTGACTGTCCGGACGGCCCTGAAGCCGAAACCGATCGCGGTTGGTCGCGGTTACACTTGCATCTTAGATTAAACACCTCATGGCTTAAATTTGCATACTAAATTTTAAGTAGCCTGCAAAACCTTAGAGATTGTGGAACATTGTTATCCAAATTAATTTGTTGATTTGCATCTATTAATTTTAGTGATATCAATTCTGACCTAAATTGATAGATCCAGGGAAGCAGGTTCTTCTGGTAGAAACTTCTGCTTACTTAAGCTTTGGCCAGCAAATCCATCGAAAGCGCAGCTTGCTATTAACGTGCAACGTGAAACATTTTCAATTTGAAATATTACATTTTTTTGTATAAGGTATTGGATGGCTTTGGAATCTGCGCAAAATATTCCGAATTTTCTGTTTGAATTCGTCGGCAAAGGGTGCGGAATATGGGCGAAAAATACCGCAGTAACGAGCTTTAATAAGATGATGCATATTGATATACAGCTGATTGGTAATCCCATTTTACAAGGAGAATGCCAATGCTTCTTCGATTGTAAGTTGAATAATCTTCTGAGATTTTCGATCCCTAGTTTGTTCTACCCTGAGGACTTTTAACGCCTTAACAAAATCATCTTTTTTCGCCTTCTGCGCAGAAAAAGTCTATGTATGATGAAAGATAACATGACAGTCTACGCTTTAAGCGCATTAGTAATTTAATTCTGATCAACAAATTTTAGAGAGAGAAGGATTAGTGAACTCTTTATTCAAGGTTATAATTAACGTCTCCAAAAGTTATCTTAGTGATTAACTTTAAACCTTGTCATCATACGATTGCACTCTGGCAAATAACTCTTGCTGTGGGTTATAAAACCCCGAATTATTCTTGTGAGTTGCTGACTTTATTTACATTCATGGTTTCCCGCATCAACTTCGTTACAGCAGAGTCGTCCCATCCACTCCACGAACAGAATTGCGTTTGTTAAACTTTAGCTGCGCGCCAATTCCAAACTCTTTTTTTAAATTTTTTTTTTTCAAACTGTCTTGCCTTCCCCTAAAGCATAATTGAAGTTATATAAAAAATGGGCTTTATGCTTTTTGCCCTTAATTCATTGGTAAAATTTATTAAAAATTTTGAGAAAAGATTTTACTGACATTGCCTTTATTGAATTCAGTGCCAACTAAAATTGTACTGGACTTAAGTAAGAAAGTTTATTACAAATATGAATATCGGTTCTTTTCTTATGTATGCTCCCATGCACTCGAACGATATGATATAGCCAGCATAGTAGCTGTTCTTTCATTTACAGAGCAATAACAAATCGTTCGCCAAACTTTCTCCCGAAGACTCCAACCGAAGGCCGACATATCGTGCACCCCTTTATACCATAAAGTAGGATCGGATTGATCGGATTTATCATTAATTTTCGATTGCAAACTCAGTCCAAAGGCGCATTTGTTGGCCAGAGTCATTCTGTCTTGGGTAGCCAAGTGGCTATCACTCCTAGTTCAACCAACATTCAAAAAATATAGAAAATTGATTTAAATAAAAAATTAAGTTAAATTTTTTGAATGCGCTCGCTTCTCAACTGGGAATTTCCGAGTGTATATCGGACATGAAATTAAAGCTCCTCATAAAATACCATCAGCCGGCTTAGTATAAACGGTAGGTCCATCCACTTCTTAGAAAAACTTCAAGGAGTAAAGTTGTAAATTTTAGGAAGAGCTCTGCCGAAAGTCGCTGCAGCGGTTAAAAAGCGCCAATTTTATATATACAACGTTGAAGTTGTCTACGACTTCCAAGTTATGACTATCAAGAGTGACGAGGCAGCCAAGTCGTGAAATCAATGACTGTTTGTTTGATGAAAGTTCTTTCCTCATCCTACTAGCTCTTTTTCTGACACTGCCGAAACCAATTGATTCCATAATAGCCACGCGTCAAGGGTTCGAGATGCCATCCCACAGTTCCCTTATATTAAGTTGCTGGTGAGTATTCTCAAGAAGTTGCTGTACAAGTCGAGTCAGTCTGATATACAATACTAAAAAAGGGCGCCCTCAGTCATATCGTCATTCTCATCCATCGGAGCATGGAGGTAAAGCAGCGATGTGGTGTATGTGGCCGCTGCATTTATGAAGATGCATGTGTCATGTATTTACAAATCATCAAAGTTATAGAACTATGTTCTTGAGATATCATGTTTTTTTGGAAAAAGTCTGACAAAAAATATATACAAGATATGGTTTTATATCTTCGTATCTCAAAAAGACGAGGGGAATAAATAAAGTTCGGTCAGTTGGTGATTTTCAATTTGTTTTTGTTCAATACAAAAATGCCAAATCCTTTGCAATTACTTTTTAGACTTTCTTTTAAATTTCAAAACGATGGGCTAATATGGAGACGATATAACGAATCGCCATGTGATTCTCTTCGTGTTCCGGCGTAACTTACAGCCAATTCACATATTCAGTGAATACTACGGACGTTTTTCTATAGAGGGCGAGCGCCGAGAAGGTCGGCCAAAATTATCCATTGATAACTTTGGTGAAGTACAAAACTGACAAAGATCCACGATTGACACAAGAAATGATTTCTAATGAATTGGACTTGAACGCCATAGCTGTTTTTCGGACAATAAATTATCATCTGGGATACAAGAAGAAATCTGCTCGATGAAATTCGTGGTATCAAATGAGGCTCAAAAAGAGGATCGAGTCTAGCAACTTTAGTAAAATCATTACTGGGGACGAATCTTGGTTCTACAAGTACGACGCAGAAATCATACAGCATGGTGAAGCAAGCCGACCCGTAAAATGTAAGCCACAAAAATCCGCAGCAAGAGTAATGATGCCAATTTTCTTCACCTGATCTAAAATCGTTGCTGATATTTCACTGGAAATCGGTGAGGCGGTTATTGCAAAATGGTGCACCGAGGAGTGCCAACCAAAAGTTTTCAAAAATTTATTGGAAAACCTGAAAAAGGACGGTTTGCGGCACTACATTTGACATCGTGACAAGGCGCCATCCCGTACTGCTGGAATAATGGTTAATTTCATTGCAAACTCTGGGATCGAAGAAACACTTCTAGCACCATATTCCGCGGATATAGCAATTTGTGATTTCTGGTTATGTCAAAAAGTAAAACAAATTAAAAGGAAGGGTCTTTAATAGCAGCGAGTTGTTAATTAATGCGGTTAAAGCTGATCGTGACGAGTTTGAAATGCAAGATTTTGAAAATTGTTTTCAGGAGTCGATCTATAGGATTATGAAATGCGTTGAAATCAATGGCAATTATGTAGAGAAATAAAAAAGGACAAAGTAATTAGTTATAAATGCAAAAATAATTATTTTATTCTTTTTTTCTGATAAGGAGTACTTTTTTAATCCCAACACGTATCTGTTGTATCCAGAAATCACCGAAATTGGAAAACTTTCAGATTTTTAGAATTTTATTTATGCGGTTATTGCCGCCTTGCATCCTTACCCTCGTTAGGGTTGTGCAAATAGAACAATAATTTTTCTTATTTAAATTTTACCATAATCTTTTTCTATTTCATATTTCTTATTCTGCTTTTTCATTTTATATAAACCTCTACGGTCTTTTGCAGGTTGAAAATTCGTCGCGCAATGCCCGCTGATACGGGCAACTACACATGTGTACCAACGATAGCGAAATCGTCCTCGGTTTATGTGCACGTCATAATAGGTAAGTGGCATTATTCGGATGTAGAAAAGTACAATCAAATACAAAAAAACAACAATTAATTCATGCACTATTACATATACATATTTTCTTTAAATTTAGTTTCGCATATATTTGTATATTGGCTTAGTAAAAAGTAATCCATTATTTTCGCAATATATCGCTAGATGCCGTTAGAAACGCGATTTTTCAAATTAGAAAAGGTATTGGCAAAAGTTTAAGTGACACATCTCAGTGCTATGCTCTAAGCATATCAAGAGAAGAGAAAAAACACTACATTCTGTAGTATTTTCTTCGATAAAGGTGAGACCGAAAATCAAGCAGGTGAAGATATGAAAAGCACTTGTAGTCCTGACACTGTAACAGTTAATTAGAGACATTTTGGGTTTCGTTGATATCATTCCGGTAATTTTGATGTAAAAGATGCTGCACTGTGAGCAGCAATGCCAACCGAAAACGTTTGGTCGAAGAGTACTGAGCCAGCACAAATGGTATCCAAGTCAGGATTGACGGGAAGGAAGGTTTTGCAGTGTGTATGATTGTATCGACAGACTACTAATTTGGACTGTCAACAATTAGATCGCCTGAATGTAGCAATCGCTCAAAAGCGCCCAGCTAACTGGAGGGGAATTGTGTTTCATCAGAACAATAAAAGACCACATGCATTGGCTGTGACTCGCCAGGAGCTCTCACAGCGTGGTTGGGAGGCTGTTATGAATCCAGCTTATAGTTTTCACCTCACATCTAGCTTTAACAGCTGTTTCTATGGCGATTGACATGGTTTGGCAGAAGCCTTTGAAATTCGATTGTCCGAATTTTTCACCAACAGGGACAAGGATTTCTATGATAAAGGCGTAGTGACATTAATGTAAAAAGAAGCAAAAAGTTATCGAGTTAACAAGATTATATTTAATATTTTAATGCAAAATAATGTTCTACTTTTTACTAAATACCACATATTGTTTTTACTTCAAAATATATTTTTTTTCTCTGTTCCCATTCCTCAAACTTTCAAAAAGTCAATGGTTTCAGCATTAACCGCAATCTTGCGCATTCCAACAGACACAAAACCATTTATTAAAAACGATCATACATATGTTGCATATTTAGTAGATAGTGTTTTTTTTACATAAATATTTAATGGAATTTTATACCGTTTGTCCTGTCTTTTTTGGATTTTTTTTACGATGTAACAAGTTTCGATTATTTAGAGTAAATCGGGTTCATTTTTAACTTCAATCAACAACTTTGAGGTGATGCTCATGTATCAATTTTTCTTTGGTAAAAATTCTAAAGTTTTGAAACAATCTACCTTGGCCGATCAAAAAAAAGAAATGCTGGGCATGAGCAAGCCGATTTGATAAAAATTTCGGCCATTTTTCTAAGTGTAATTCGGGTATTCTTCTCAACAGTTTTCTTCACTTTCTTGTCATTTTTAGCAGTCGTTAATGTGAAATCGATCCAACTAAATATGTAAAGGTGAAACCAATGCGAATTCAACAAGGTGAAGTTAATACGGCACATAGTAAACGGACGATAGATCCCTCAATTTTGTTGGAAAAATTAAATTAGAGGAGGAGCTCGGCCGAAATTCGTTTAATCTATATATAATTTATAAGTGTGACAGTCTTGAGAAATTCTTTCTTTTAATCTCCCTCTTATTGTCATTTTAACAGAGGTCTTGTGTTGCATTTGTTGAGATAGTGTTTCTTAAAATAGAAAATAAGTAGTTGATTTACCCGATAAATCTGAAATTTTAAGTTTCCTAGAAGAATTTTCGAACTTTTATGTTGCAGTACTTTAAACTTTTCATTTTCTTAAAGAATTTCCCCAAATATAACTATATTTGTTTTGGTCTCTGCTCTAAGTGTGCGTATGCAAATGCCAAAGTGAGTATATTTGTTTGTGGTTTCGCGCATTTACGTGAGATATACACCTAATATCTACGTCTTATTCACTCACTTCACACAGACATGTAAACTTCCGCATAAAAATGAGCTTGCTGATGAATAAATGAATGAGCGAAGGTTTACAGTTCTGCGTGTAGTACTTGGCGCCTTCATAAAATAGTAACTACAGCAAAGCAACTGGTGATAAAAGCAGAGGGGCAGCAGCAACAACTATGCACTATCTGCAGTGTGTAACTGCGCAAACAACAAAGCGGAATAATAACAACAACAAATGGATAAAAACATTCAGTTGATGTGCGGGTTTTACGATGAATGCCACAGTGTCGTAAAGAAAAATAATAGTGTTTTTGGTATGGCTGCTGCAGCTGCTTTTGAAGATGCCAATAAGCTTATGAGCGTAGTGGAGTGTTGAAAATATCCATGTATACATTCGTTTAAGTGTGTGTATGTATATTACTTTCAAGAGGTGCGGTAAGTAACTGTAGAATTTACGCGTTATAGTAGCGTGCCATTTATTAGCATTCTAACGCACGAGTATACTGCGCATTTCGTTTATTGTGCATATGCGCCTTAAAGTATGCAACAACGCAATTCGCATGCAATTTTGGCCAAGTCATAAACACTCGTTGGCGTTTCTCTCGCGCTAATAAGCTTGTTGTCGGTATTTCCTGCACTTTTACGCCATGTAGCCGCTGAAGCGATTTTCGGCCGAGCTCTTCTTTCGATTTGTGGGCTTGCGTCTTGATGTGTTTGCATCAAATGGAGGGACCTCGGACCGGCTGAAGGTTTTTTATGACCCCCAGACAGGGACCGCAATTAGTAAATATAGCTTAATATTTATTTGAATAAATTTCCCATAAGTTTTTGGATGTCAGTACGACATCAGGATTTGAGCTCTAACCTTCTGAATGGCAGTTCACAGTGCTAAGCACTCGGCTACCGCAGCCGCCGGTAATGAGTAGTTTTAGTCAAATTACCAAATTACTCTGCTGTCGAAAGGATGTGAGGCGTTTTGTAGCCGTTAGTTAGCTTTCAGCCACAACCACGTATGTGCAAACGTAAAGTGTTTAAGGCTTTTATGTACTGCACTCGATGGGGAACAATTTAAAGCCACTTCCACCACCCGCTCAAATGAGACATGAGCATGCAATAAGAAAGGGAAATCTGCTGAAAGAAAACTCAAGTACGTCCGTTCAACATGCGTATAAGCAATCTGTTATGTATTACGGACTATGCCAACGCTGTCGCTTAGCGTCATGGGTAGCATGTGCTCGGTATGACCCACGAGCTGTGGATTATTGACTTCACAATGTTGATTAACTGCGCGCATGGGTTCCACCATTTCATCAAAGCTGGACAAAGTCGAGATGGGCGCTGTTTTGTCAACTTGCGGTCTGCTTCGGGATAGCTTTGATTTGAACCAACTCACGGAACGCTGCGCTAGCAATTCAATATGCACAAGTGGACCGCGCATGTGCGGAGAGACCTTTGATGGGAGTTCTAACCGGACATTGGCGGCGGAAGTGGAATTCCTTCTGTCGTAGTTGTTTGGAAGATGGGTTAGGTAAATTCTTCTGCGTTTGTGAGACTGAGAGTGAAAAATTTCATATCCTTCACGAAGTATTTTATAGACTTTGACCTTAAGCAAATATTGTAGATTTGGGAATAGCCTTTTGCTTAACAATAAAAGTCCCCGGAAAGAAACGAGTCGCTAAACAAAAACATTTTGTGTCGTTGTGAAGAAACTTGTCCGACCACAATAAGAAAATTGGTGGAAAAAATGAAAGTTTTGCGATAAGCTGATGATGTGAAGACTAAAACATGAACACGACTTTAAGGAACAACTTTGAATATTTCCGCTGTAGCCCAAACTGCTGAAAAAAGCCAGGCTTGCCCATCTCTTGTCGTTCCTTTGCTTTGGGCATTCCACAAACGTCATTACACCGCACTTTTAATAAATACTGTGGGTTTAAGGATTATAAAGTTCAGTTGACACAAGAACTCAAGCCGCCCGATCATTAACAACGTCGTGTCCTCGCTCATTGGGTCCTTGAACTGAATGAAAATGATACGGAATTTCCCTTGTTACGCCAATAAGCAAAATTGCCGCATCTGGGACTCTGAAAACCCAAGATCTATTGTTGAAATGTCTCTCCATCCTCAATCTGTAACTACGTGATGCGGTTTATGATCTGACGAGGTGATTGGATCATACTTTTTCGTAAATGAGGCTGAATCAACAGTTTCGTTGAATAGATTGCCCTCACAAAAGATGACTAATGATTTTTTATGGCTGGAGTTCGATGACATTGATCAGGACAACGTTTACTTTCAACAAGACAGAGCTATACTCCGCACAAGCAACGAAACCATCGATCTTTTAAGGGACCGTCTTATCTCTCGAAGAGGTGATCTCATTTGATCGTCGAGATCTTGTGATTTAGTAACTTGAGAATTCTTTCTTTGAGGCCACATGAAATATTAGGTGTACGCTAACAGGCCAACGATTAATCAAGACCTCAGACGTGGAACTCGTTAAGCTTTAAAGGGCACTTTGCGATTTGGTAATGGAAAATTCCGTAAAAAGGATACGAATTGATGGCGGTCATTTAGCTGATATTGATTTCCACTAATTGAAATGAAATAAAATAAAGCCTCTTTTTGGAAACCTCTGTATATTAAAAAATTGTGAAAAAGAACCAAAAAAAGAATTTAAAAAAAAAATAAAAAAAAAATCATAAGCCAAGTCTTAAATTTTTGTTAATCATATAAAAAGCTTCTAAGACTTCTTGGTGGTACTTATAAAACTCATTTTTGGTTGTTATTTCTAAAAATTTAAAATATATGAGTTAGTGCTTTTCTACATTACAACAATTTTTTTTTTTTTTGTGAATTTTGTTTCTGATGTTTTTGGTAAGAAAAAACACTAAAAACAAAAGCACTAAGCAGTAAGTGAAGCGTTTTTATTATAGTACCAAAACGTAGTATTTCGTTTATGGCTCAAAAGTGGTGTTTTCTAAATTTTAAGTAACCTCCCACTTGCCACTTCCAGTCAAAAAAAAAATTAAAGAAAATGAAAGCGAAGCACTGAGT